TACTATGATTGATAACAATTATGTGTGGGTTTGGGAGAAAGAGGGAAGGGGCGTGGCCAATTATGAAACCAAATAAGACAGTTATATCAGGAAAGGTCAAAACGTGATCAGAATAGATTACAGCTTTTGAGAAATACTAGATATACTGACTAAATTTAAGATGTTTTACTCGCCAAGATCTCTTTTTTGCAGTGCATGTAGTAAATGTGTGCGGTAATCTTCCTCCGGGTCCGATCATGGAGCCGGTTTCTCCCTTTCATTCTCATAAATGCATAAATGTCATCATCTCATATTTGCATATAATGCAGAAAAAGCAGCTGAATCATGTTTCTGTCTGACCATGAAGGAGTGTAAATGGAATGTGGATAAATCTGATCTGGATATGAGTCACATGAAGAGCCTATGTTACCGATTCACTTTTAAAGGGGAACTCCACTGATTTTTCAAAATTTCTTCATAATTAAATGGTTCAGATGTAAACAGAGCAGTTCAGAGTGGTTCAGAGTGGTTTGGTGTGAAACGCTCTGTTCTAGATAAACTTACCGAGTCAGAACTGTTCACAGTGGTGGTGATAGGAACCAGACGTCCACCTCTAAAAGCTCCCTCACAGAAAGTTCCTACAGTAAATGGTTATGAATTCACTGCCTGATGACTGAGACACTGTTTTATGATAGTTTAGAGAACTTAAACTCCATTCATGGTGGAGGGATACATGCAGGGCGCTGTGAGGCAAAATAGTCCCCAAAGAAAACTTATTATTTCAGATTTTCCACTATTTTCCATCATCAACATTCCATATAAACTCAGAAGACTCGTGTAGGTTCACTGGTGGTTCTGGACAGTAAATAAAATGTCTATATTTGTGTTGTAGTCATGGCGACCCCTGGTTCCTATCAGCACCACTGTAAAGACATCTGAACCATTTCACACCAAACCACTCTGAATCTCTCTGTTTACATCTCACACACAGGATTATAGGGGTATTTTGAAAAATCAGTTGAATTCACCTTTAATACCTGTCCTGTGAAACCAGCCTTAAAGGGGAATTCAACCACCTTTTCAAAATTTTGCCTGCATAATTCAGTCATTGACATGTAAACAGTGAGATTCAGAGTGGTTTGGTGTGAAATGGTTCAGATGTCTTTACAGTGGTGCTGATAGGAACCAGGGGTCGCCATGACTACAACACAAATATAGACATTTTATTTACTGTCCAGAACCACCAGTGAACCTACACGAGTCTTCTGAGTTTATATGGAATGTTGATGATGGAAAATAGTGGAAAATCTGAAATAATAAGTTTTCTTTGGGGACTATTTTGCCTCACAGCGCCCTGCATGTATCCCTCCACCATGAATGGAGTTTAAGTTCTCTAAACTATCATAACACAGTGTCTCAGTCATCAGGCAGTGAATTCATAACCATTTCATGTAGGAACTTTCTGTGAGGGAGCTTTTAGAGGTGGACGTCTGGTTCCTATCACCACCACTGTGAACAGTTCTGACTCGGTAAGTTTATCTAGAACAGAGCGTTTCACACCAAACCACTCTGAACCGCTCTGAACTGCTCTGTTTACATCTTAACCCTTTAATTATGCAGACAATTTTGGAAAAATCCCTTTAAGCCTACTTCTGGACTACACAGTATTCTGAATGGAGATTCACAAATGAAAGTAAAAGTTAATCCCTGTCTGGACCCCTATTCACATAATCTATAATCAGTGCCGGATTACGCTGTGGGAGTGATCTACCCAACACTGGTGATATACTGTAACTGTGCTCTCCTATAATGTAATCCAGTAAAGTGGTTTGTGTTAGTCACAGTTTAAATCTGATCTTCGCAGTGTTTTTTTAGCTTCTGCCACACACAGTCAGCAGACAGCACACAGCCTGAGCCCACACATCAGGAGAACACGCAGAAATCATGACACACGCTTGACCTTTAGACCCAAACTGACTTTACACACTCGTCACATGCAGCGAGCCGAAGTTTGGGCCAATAAACACAGTCAGAAGATTATGAAGTGTGCAGCTAGTAGCATGAACAGTAATTCATCCCCACAGTGCATGTAGTGCAGTGGTCACCAACCGCGATGATGGAGCTGCGGAGCTTCAGCTCCAACACCAACCTACGAGAGGTCCTTCATTAACCGGATCAGCTGTGATACGTTAGTTCTGGGAATGTTAGACAGCACTGATTTCCTCTTCAGTACCAATTAATAGTTCTGTTCTTATTTGGATTTGGTATACTTTACTGTTTTTGTTTTTATTATATATATATATATATATATATATATATATATATATATATATATATATATATATATATATACACCGATCAGGCGTAACATTATGACCACCTCCTTGTTTCTACGCTCATTGTCCATTTTATCAGCTCCACTTACTATATAGGTGCACTTTGTAGTTCTACAGTTACAGACTGTAGTCCATCTGTTTCTCTGATACTTTGTTAGCCCCCTTTTACCCTGTTCTTCAGTGGTCAGGACCCCCATGGACCCCCACAGAGCAGGTACTGTTTGGGTGGTGGATCATTCTCAGCACTGCAGTAACACTGACGTGGTGGTGGTGTGTTAGTGTGTGTTGTGCTGGTCTGAGTGGATCAGACACAGCAGTGCTGCTGGAGTTTTTAGACACCTCAGTGTCACTGCTGGACTGAGAATAGTCCACCAACCAAAAATATCCAGCCAACAGTGTCCTGTGGGCAGCGTGCGGTGACCACTGATGAAGGACTAGTCTGATCCACTCAGACCAGCGCAACACACACTAACACACCACCACCACGTCAGTGTTACTGCAGTGCTGAGAATGATCCACCACCCAAATTGTTCCTGCTCTGTGAGGGTCCATGGGGGTCCTGACCACTGAAGAACAGGGTAAAAGGGGGCTAACAAAGTATCAGAGAAACAGATGGACTACAGTCTGTAACTGTAGAACTACAAAGTGCACCTATATAGTAAGTGGAGCATAAAATGGACAATGAGCGTAGAAACAAGGAGGTGGTCAGAATGTTATGCCTGTATGTATATATATATATATACAGACACTCTTAAGAAGATGGTTCTTCAAGGGTTCTTTTGTAAAGCCAGTGGTTCAATATAGAACCATGAACACTCAAAGAACTATATGCATAAATATGATGGTAAAATTGTTCTTCAGATTAATGGAGAATGTGTTGTATTTGGTTCTACATAGCACCAAAAAGGGTTCTGCTATTCTTATGATGCCAAGCTTCTAACAATAGCAGAACCCTTTTTGGTGCTATGTAGAACCAAATACAACACATTCTCCATTAATCCGATGAACAATTTTACTATCATAATTATGCAAATTGTTCTTTGAGTGCTCATGGTTCTATATTGAACCACTGTCTTCACTACACACTCAAGAAAAATGGTTCTTCAAGGGTTATTTAGTGAAGAAAATGCCTCTGTATAGAACCATGAGCACTCAAAGAACTCTATGCATGATTAAAGCGTTCTTTGCATCATGAAAGAGTTCCTCAGATTAACTGAGAATGTGTTTTGTATGGTTCTGTACAGAACCTTTATGAAAATGGTTCTATATAGCTCCACAAGGGGCTATTGTTACAGGTTTGATATCATAACAATAGAAGAACCCTTTTTTGGTGCTATTGGAACCCTTTTTCAAAAATGTTCTATGTAGAACCATCTACAGCACATTTTCCATCCATCTGAAGAACACTTTAACGATGCAAAGAACCCTTTAATCATGCAAAGAGTTCTTTGAGTGCTCATAGTTCTATACACGGTTCTATTTTCTTTACTAAAGAACTCTTAAAGAACCATAATTTTTAAGAGTGTGAAGAACCCTTGAAGAACCATCTTTTCTAAGTGCCTATCTATCTATCTATATAGATAGATAGGCTCTTAGAAAAGATGGTTCTTCAAGGTGGCATTAAGTGTTGTTTTAGTTTCTTACCTGTTGTAAATTTGTTTATTCTTTGTAGTTTTATATTTTATCTTATAGTCTTTTTTACTGGTTTGATATGGTCGTACGTTGTACCTTTTTATTTCAGTGTTTTTTACTCTTTTTAGTCTTGTTTTCTGCTCTAATACTCAGCTAAACTGCCCTCAGTGTCGATGTGAGGTCAATATCCAGACACCATATGTCTAAAAATATGTTTCTTCTCAGGCAGGTAAGTCTGGGATGTTTGTGTGATCTACTCTGAAATCTATTCAGGGCTTGTTCTTAATGTTCTTGATTCAAATGTGCACATCATTTCACTTTAGTCACAAGAGCTGTCAACATTACGTCAAATAAGAGAAAAAACTGTAGATGGAAATGATGTACACACATGAATATATAAATATCTATAATACTGCACTGTGCAAAAGTCACAGACCCTTCATTTACTTAATTTCCAGTTAAAACGGCCTTTAAGTACAAGTTATTCATTTTTCAGTGTCAGAAAAATCAGCAGAAAACGTTTCAACAGAAATGTAAAGTATGTTTAGTGTATCCTTTTCAGGAGCCTCACTTTCAGCTCCTCAAAGAATCTGCAGACACGCCTCCAAAGTTCAGTCTCAGAAGCTGGTTGATGATTTTCTGAAGTAATCAAACACATTCAGTGGTGTTGAGGTCTGGACTCTGGGGTGGTCAGTCCATTGTTCAGCTTCTTTGTTTGATGTGTCCGTCTCCTTTTCTCAGTGAGGTTCTTCTTGACAGCTACACATCCTTTCAGACCCACAGCGCTGAGTCGTCTTCTCACAGTGGAAGGATGGACAGAAACACCTGTGGATGTTTTCAGATCTGAAGCAGCTTGATTTTCTCCTCTCTCTCAGAGATGAAAGCTTTAAGTGCTGTTTATCTGATGGGGGCAGTTTTGGGGTCTATCAGGTCTTCCAGGTGGTTGTTAGGAGGCACATCTTCTCTGTAGCTTCTATTAATTATTTTTCAGTTTTGGAAACTCCTTTCTTTTAACTTACTTTCTCCTTCCTTAAGCATGTGGATTATCTTACATTTGATCTCTGCACAAACATCTCCTGAAAAATGAATAACTTGTATTTATTTAATTATTTATTTCCTACTTTTTTAGCATTAAATGTGCATTGTGTTTAATAACAAAGACTTGATGGTGATTTTTATATGTAAGAATCAATTTTCAGAAGGAAACATCAGGTTAGGATGTATCAATACTTAAGTGTTGATCCACCCCTCCCCAAAACTGCAGGACGATGCCCAGAAGAAGGTTGGTGACCACTGCTGCAGCAGACAGTTCTGAGGTGAATCAGATCACTCTCTGACCAGACATGAGCAGGAACATCAGGCAGTGAGCAGCAGGAAAAAGACTACGACGACTCCTTCTTCTCCCGCTGCGCCAGTCGACGGATCTTCATCTCCGTTAGCTGGATGTAGCGGATCACATTGGTGTCTGTTGGACACAGAGAACACAGACAGCAGCTTTAACTGGGAAACAACAGCGAAGTGACTCATCTCTATACAGTGAAATGCTTGTGTTATTGTTTTATTATTAAATGGCGTAAAATGGTTTATGACAGTCAACTTAAGTCTCAGACTTCTAGACTGTATTTACTGTCTACACTTGTGATTGCATAGCAACACAGTGGCACTGCTTAGCAATACAGTGGCTTATAGCAACAAGGTAGCATTGCGTACCACCAAAGAGGATTATAACATCACAGTGGCACTGCATAGCAGCACAGTGGCACTGCATAGCAGCACAGTGGCTTATAGCAACACAGTGGCATTACATAGCAGCACTGTGGCTTATAGCAACAAGGTAGCATTGCATAGCACCAAAGAGGCTTATAGCAGCAAGGTAGCATTGCGTACCACCAAAAAGGATTATAACATCACAGTGGCACTGCACAGCAGTACAGTGGCTTATAGCAACACAGTGGCCTTGCATAGCAACACAGTGCCATTGCATAGCAATACAGCGGCTTATAGCAACACAGTGGCATTGCATAGCAGCACTGTGGCTTATAGCAACAAGGTAGCACTGCATAGCACCAAACAGGATTATACCATCACAGTGGCACGGCATAGCAGCACAGTGGCTTATAGTAACACAGTGGTATTGCATAGCAGCACAGTGGCTTATAGTAACACAGTGGTATTGCATAGCAGCACAGTGGCTTATAGCAACACAGTGGCATTGCATAGCAGCACAGTGGCTTATAGCAACACAGTGGCATTGCATAGCAGCACTGTGACTTATATTAACCCAGTGGTATTGCATAGCAGCACAGTGGCTTATAGCAACACAGTGGCATTGCATAGCAGCACAGTGGCTTATAGCAACACAGTGGCATTGCATAGCAGCACAGTGGCTTATAGCAACACAGTGGCATTGCATAGCAGCACTGTGACTTATAGTAACACAGTGGCACTGCATAGCAGCACTGTGGCTTATATTAACCCAGTGGTATTGCATAGCAGCACAGTGGCTTATAGCAACACAGTGGCATTGCATAGCAGCACAGTGGCTTATAGCAACACAGTGGCATTGCATAGCAGCACTGTGACTTATAGTAACACAGTGGCACTGCATAGCAGCACTGTGGCTTATAGTAACACAGTGGCATTGCATAGCAGCACTGTGGCTTATAGCAACACAGTGGCATTCCATAGCAGCACTGTGACTTATAGTAACACAGTGGCACTGCATAGCAGCACAGTGGCTTATAGCAACACAGTGGCATTGCATAGCAGCACTGTGGCTTATAGCAACACAGTGGCATTGCATAGCAGCACTGTGGCTTATAGCAACAAGCTAGCACTGCATAGCACCAAAGAGGATTATACCATCACAGTGGCACTGCATAGCAGCACTGTGGCTTATAGCAACAAGGTAGCACTGCATAGCACCAAAGAGGATTATACCTTCACTGTGGCACTGCATAGCAGCACAGTGGCTGATAGCAACACAGTGGCATTGCATAGCAGCACTGTGGCTTATAGTAACCCAGTGGTTTTGAATTGCAAAACAGTGTCTTATTGCGACACAGTGGCACTGCATAGCAACACAGTGGCACTGCATAGCAGTACAGTGGCTTACAGTAATAGCGGCACTGAATAGCAGTACAGTGGCTTATAGCAATACAGTGGCTTATAGCAACAAGGTAGCATTGCATAGCACCAAAGAGGACTATGCCATCACAGTGGCACTGCATAGCAGCATATGGATTTGATGCAGTGATGTAGTGGCTTATAGCAACACAGTGGTATAGCATAATAAACCAGTGGCACTGCACAGAAACATAATAGTGCTTAGCAATGCTGTAGCATTGCAAAGTAACATAGTGGCGTATAGTAACAGTGGCATTGGCTTATAGCAACACAGTGGCAATGCATAGCAATGCAGTGGCTTATAGTAACAATGGAACTGCATAGCAGTACAGGGGCTTATAGCAACACAGTGACACTGCATAGCAGTACAGGGGCTTATAGCAACACAGAGGCACTGCATAGCAGTACAGGGGCTTATAGCAACACAGAGGCACTGCATAGCAGTACAGTGGTTTATAGCAACACAGTGGCATTGAATAGCAGTATACTGGCTTACAGTAATAGCGGCATTATAAAGCAGTACAGTGGCTTATAGCAACACAGTGGCACTGTATAGCAATACAGGGGCTTATAGCAACACAGTGGCACTGCATAGCAATACAGGGGCTTATAGCAACACAGTGGCACTGCATAGCAGTACAGGGGCTTATAGCAACACAGAGGCACTGCATAGCAGTACAGGGGCTTATAGCAACACAGAGGCACTGCATAGCAGTACAGTGGCTCACAGCAACACAGTGGCATTGAATAGCAGTACACTGGCTCACAGCAATAGTGGCATTGAATAGCAATACAGTGGGTTATAGCAACGCACTGGCATTGCATAGCATCTTATTAGCACATAACAACACAGAGGCATTATAGCTACACACTAGCATATAGCAACACCACTATAGCACTATTGTCGTAGCAGCAGAGCAACATTTATATACAGTCATACAGAAACATGTGTAAACATCCCACAATACATGTGTGCATGTGAGCCACCTGTACCTGAGGGCTGTTGTTTGTGCGACTCCTGTAGGTAGTGCAGGGCCTTGTGGTAATCTCCCAGGTGATAATACGCCACACCTGAGCGGTACAGTGCTTTGAAGTTCTCCCCTTCTTTCCTCAGGACTTTCAGACAGTACTCTTTAACCCGCTCATAATTCACCAGCTCCATCTGTAACAGACACGCTGCACACACATAAACATCAGTTCTCAGTGAGGTCCTTGTGAGCTCTGATCCAGTTACGTCCTCAGCATGTTTTACAGTGATTATTTTGAGGCGCTGCAGTGTATCGTGACTAAACACGCACCGATTCAACATCTGCTTTGGCCAAGCGGTGACGTCATCCTGCGTGACTGACTCAGACTGCGTTTACTGACGCTGAGCTCAAACTGTGAGTGAACCTGCCGCTGCTGAATGGGAGTGGAAGGTTTTAGGCTGCAGGCTGCATGAAATAGTGATCACTGATTGTGGCGAAAGCTTCAATATGCAAATGAGCCATCAGGGTTGGGATGTAAGAGAATACAAGTATTGGGAATACACACATCTGGATTTAGTCCAAATTCCATTTTGTAAAGACAGTAATCGGAATACAGTTATTTATTAAACCTTTGAGGGGAATATTTTTAGAATAATAAATAAAAAAAAAATCTTCAAAAGAACACCATCAACGCTCGTTTATTAACTCATTTCAGATCAGCGCATGGCACATCGCAAACATCTAAGCTTGTTAGAGGGCCTGAATTTACGGCTGCTTTACAAACACAAACAAGTTCCTGCTAAGAACCCTTAAAGAACCGCCTTTTTAAGAGTGTGTTTTTAATGTTATGGCTCATCCATATATGCCCACATACGTGAAACAGTGCAAACCGCGATATTTATCATTATCAATATCGCGATATTTTGTTGTGCGTCCACATCGTGCAGCCCTATTTTACGCATGAGTGGACGGAGCTGATTAAAGCGCCTCATGAATAAACACAAACGGCTAATGAATAATGATTAAAGACTAATGAATAATGATTAAAGACTAATGAATAATGATTAAAGACTAATGAATTGTGGCGCGCGCGTACCTGCCAGGCTGTTGTAGCACTCGAGCTCCGCGCTCTCCACCGCGCCCTTCTGCTCCTCCGTCAGGCTGCACTTCCCCGTCGGCAGCGGCGGCGGCGGCGCGGCGCACGCGCTCCTCGCGCCTACGTCCGGGTCCCCGAGCGCGCGACACAGGCCCTTCATCTCGAGCAGCGCGCGGTGGTACTTGCCGATGGCCTCGCGGTACTTCTTGTCCCTGTAGCACTGCGTGCCCTGCGTCTTGAAGTCGAGCGCGCGCCGCAGCGCGTCCGCCGCGGGCTGCTGCTGCTGCTTCACGAGCCCTCCGCGATCCACGCTCATTTCCCTTTTTTTAGAATCGGCGGGTAGCAGCACGCATCCCCGCAGCGCGCGCGGAACCCTCGCTCTGTTGTGTGTAATGGTGCTAGGCTAGGCGCGCGCTCACAGGAGAAGGAGGAGGAGGAGAGCTCGCGCGTGCATGCAAGCATTCCCCAAACCCCCCCACCCCCAACACACACTCACTCACACACACACGGCGCGCGCCGTCCCTCGCTGACGGTGAGATGACTGCATAGCGTTCCTTATGAGACAGCGCGAGATAACAGCGTGTCCTCGCGCGCTCCCCCTACATCTCATACTCAAGAAAATCAAAGTGACCGCTTGGTAGGGAAAAATGCCTGGCACGCGCGGTTGGTCTGATGATCATAATTGGTCATAATTGATATTAATGATGATTGTAATTGACAATAAAGGTAGTGGTGGTGAACATTTATGGTGATGGTGATGATTATGATCGTTTCTGATGATGATGATGTTAATGTTGGTGATGATGATGGTGATGTGATAGTGATAATGATGGTGATTATGATAATAGTGATAATAATGATTATTGAAATGGCAATGATGAAGACAGTGGTGATTGGAATGATGGTGGTGATGATTGTGATGTGGTGATGTGAATAGTGATGATGACGATAATGGTGATCATGATGATTGAGATTGTGATGATAAAAATTGTGGTGATTGTAATGATGGTAGTGATGATTACAGTGATAGTGATATGATGGTGGGGATGGGGACTGGTGGTGATGATGGTGATTATTTTGATGATAATGCTACAGTGATGGTGATGGTAGTGATGGGTGGTGATGGCTAAGATGATAATGTCAAGTTGATGATGGTAATGTTTGTGATAGGGTGATGATGATGGTGGTTATGATAATTTTGCAATGATGTTGACGGTGCTGATGTTTGTGGTAATGTTTGTGATGATGGTAATGACGATGGTGGACATTTGTGATTTTGGTGATGATGGTTATGATGGTATGATGATAATGATGTTGATGGTAATGTGTGTGATGAGGGTGATGATAATGATGGGTGATGATGGTTATGATGATAATGTTAAGCTGATGTGGATGGTTATGGTAATGTTTGTGATAAGAGTGATGATGATAATAGTTATGATGTTGATAATGTTACAGTGATGGTAATGATGTTGATGCTGATGTGTGATGATGGCTGATGAATTGATTATTTGGTTCAGATGAGCAGAATCTGTTATATTTTAACAGCAGTGTGAATATTTGGATACAGAAACGGACTGTAAGGGCACCTTAATACTGCAACACACTGCACCATTAAACTAGAGGAGTTGTATGTGTGTGTGAGTGTATGTGTGAGTGTATGTGTGTGTGTGTGTGTGTGAGTGTGTGTGTGTGTGTGTGTGTGTGTGTGTGTGTGTGTGTGTGTGTGTGTGTGTGTGTCTGAGCAGATGACAGTGTTTTGATGTTTTGGTTTGAGCTCTGCACGATGTCTCTCCACCCTGTTTCTAATTTAGACTGCAGGAGCCACTTATTTACTCACTCACTCACTCACTCATTCATTCACTCACTCACTCACTCACTCACTTATTTACTCACTCACTCACTCACTCACTCACTCATTCACTTTCACTCCCTTACTCACTCACTCACTTATTTGCTCACTCACTCACACACTCATTCATTCACTCACTCACTCGCTCACTAACTCATTCACTTATTCGCTCACTCTCATTCACTCATTCATTCACTCACTCACTCACTCACTCGCCCACTCATTCACTTTCACTCCCTTACTCACTCACTCACTCACTCACTAATTCACTTACTCACTTATTAACTCACTCACTAATTCACTCCCTCAGTCACTCACTTACTTTTCCATTCACGTGCTCATTTACCCACACACTAATTCACTAAGTGACTTATAGTCACTTGTTTACACACTCATCGTTCTGTCTTACTCACTCACACGCTCACTCATTCACTCATTCATTCCATTTCTCACTCACTTACTCATTCACTCATTTACTTATTTACTCACTCACTCACTCACTCATACTCTCCCTTACTGACTTACTTATTCATTCTGTCACTCTCCCACTCACTAATTCACCTTCTCACTCTCTCACTTATTCATTCACTTAATCATTCACCCCCTTCTAGTTCACTAATTGACTTACTCACTTATTCACTCATTCATTCACCCCTTACTCACTCACACAGGCACCCAGTTACTAATTCACTTACTCACTTGTTCACTCGTTAACTCACTCACTGTTTCACTTGCTCAGTTATTCACGCGCTCTCTTCAGTTAGTCTCTGTGTCTCTTTGATGTCTGTGTCTGTTCACAGAACAAAAACAAACCTGTGACATCACTCAGCTGAAACAACAGGATAGTTAGAGAGGAATTCCCCTGTGAGTGTGTGTGTTTGTGTGTGTGTGTGTGTGTGTGTGTGTGTGTGTGTGTGTGTGCGTGTGTGTGTAATGTAATCAAGTGTTTGAAAGCAGCCATTTTAAGGTAATAATGGAAATTATTTTCTTCTTGTCACAAAATACATAAACAGGCACCATTTTTAAGGTTATTGAATATGACTGTGAAAGTGTACATAATATGGTGAATATTAAAGTGTTACATGAATGTAACATAATTCTGAATGTAACGATAAATATAATTCTGAGAATAATTCTCAGAATAATTGTAAATATAATTCCTACCATAATTATAAATATAATGATAAATATAGTCTGGAGAAGAATTCTGAATTTGATAAATATCATTCTACAAAATAAATATACATATAATTATATAACGCAAGTCCTAAATATAATTCTGAGGCCAATTCTACATATATAACAGTTAATATCATTTTAATATAATTCTGAATGTAAAAGTGAAAGTTATAAAAAACAGAATTTGGCGAATTCGGTGCGGGACTTTTATTGAGCCCCGCGTCATCTCCTCGCGTCGTTCGGGACATGGCGGCCAGTGATCTGAGAGGTGAAGTGTCTGAAGGAAATGCGAGATTTAATCGGTTTGATTGAATATTTGCGGCTCTTTGTTTATTAAGTGGCTCTTTGATTTGTGAGTAAAGCAAGTCGAGTAAACCGCAGTGAGGAAAGCTGAGTTATAAACCGATTTCCGCGGGGTTGATTAGCGTTAGCTGACGAGCTAACAGGCTAACGGCACAAAGGACCAATCAGAGCGCCGAGAAATGTTTGTTTGTTTGTTTGTTTATTTTGGTTTCTTGTGAGGATTTAGGTTCATGTGCTTTTACTCTCACTGTGCTGAGGTTTAAGGAATTAATCAGTCTCCTTTTTCCCCTGCTGAAGAAAGACCATTAGAACCATTAGGATTAAAACCTGATGGTTCTGCGTGCTAATAGGAATTGATGGTTACCATTACAGACCACTAGTTTCCTGTAGGACACCTTTAGATCCCATCTGGAAGCAGAACTCCTTTTAAACCATTAGAGTCCTTTACATTGTGAAATCAACCCATCTGGAAAACAGAACACTCTTTAAAAAGCTGGTTCTTTAGCAAAGGGAACGGTTCTATTTAGAACCATGAGCTGTGTATAGAACCATTTTTATGCTTAAATGGTTCTTTGCCTGGTGAAATGGATCAGATCGATGGAGAATGTCTTGCAGATGATTTATATGTAGCACCAAAAAGGCCTCTGCTGTTGTCACGATGTCAAGCTTGTAACAATAGAAGAACCCTTTTTCATGCTGTATAGAACCCCTTTCAGAAGGACTCTATATAGAACCACAGATAGCACATTCTCCATGAATCTGAAGAACCTTTTCACCATGCAAAGAACCGCTTAAGTGTGAAATGGTTCTATATAGAACTCTTGAAGAACCATATTTATAAAGTAAGTAGTAAGTAAAGTTTATTTCTATAGCGCTTTTTACAACAGGTGTTGTCACAAAGCAGCTTTACAAGGAAATCAGCATTACAGAAAGAAATCCAGGTCTGAGCCCCCATGAGCGTCGCCAGAGGCAACAGTGGCAAGGAAAAACTCCCTAAGAGAAACAGGAAGAACCCTTGAGAGGAACCAAGACTCAGAAGGGGAACCCATCCTCCTCTGGTCGACACCGGACAGTAAACATTGTTAGTACAAAAACAGGGAAAACAGGTGGAGCAATGATTAACTTGATTAGTTTAGTTTATGCAGCAGCATCAGTGGGGTCGGGTTGTGAGGGTGAGGTTTGCACGGCGTTGTACAGCATGGAGCTTGATGGTGGTCAAGCCGGTCCAGAGGGCTGGCGAGCAGTGGCACCCGATCAAGGCAGAGAGGCAGCAGCATCAGACGCACAGAATGGGCAGCTGTTCAACTCGGCAAAGGAAAGAAAGAGAGGAAAAACACACAGAGTCAGTTCTGTAATGAGTGACTGACAGAACTGAGAGTCAGTTCTGTAATGAGTGACTGACAGAACTGAGAGTCAGTTCTGTAATGGGTGACTGACAGAACTGGGAGTCAGTTCTGTAATGGGTGTCAGTTCTGTAATGGGTGTCAGTTCTGTAATGGGTGACTGATCACAGATTACAGTGTTAGCAGAGCAGCAGAGACTCTGGCAGGTCTAGATCTGACAGGGAAAACTAATCACCAAAGGCTCAACTATACAAGTAAGTTTTAGCCTAGACTTAAAGACTGAGGCTGTGTCTGAGTCCTGAACATTAACAGGAAGACTATTCCAAAGCTGGGGGGCTTTGTATGAGAAGCTCCGCCCCCTGACGTAACTTTATTAATTCTACGTACTAATAGTGAGCAGCACCTTGTGATCTAAGCAGGCGTGATGGTTCATAGTGGGAGAGAAGTTCACTCAGGTACAGCGGGGCGAGTCCGTTTAGAGCTTTATAGGTCAGTAAGAGAATTTTATAATCAATCCGAAATTTAACTGGTAACCAGTGTAAGGCTGATAAAACTGGGCTGATATGGTCGAACTTTCTGGTTCTTGTAAGAACTCTGGCTGCAGCGTTCTGGACCAACTGAAGCTTGTTAAGGCTTTTGCTGGGACATCCAGCCAGCAGGGCATTACAGTAATCTAGCCTTGAAGTAATAAATGCATGAACTAACTTTTCTGCATCCTGTAGAGAGAATGCATTTCTCAATTTAGCAATATTGCGAAGATGCAGGAAGGCTGTTCTAGTAATATTAGTTATATGTGTGTCGAAGGACAGATCAGGGTCTATAATGACACCAAGGTTTTTTACAGATGAGCTTGATGCAGCTGAGAAATTGTTAAGTTTAAGTGTTAAATTAGACAGTTTGTTTCTGGCCGCTTTTGGACCAAGAAGCAGAACCTCTGTTTTATCGGAGTTTAGAAGGAGAAAGTTACTCGACATCCAGTCCTTTATGTCTTGTATACAGTCTTCAATCTTGCCAAGTTTAATTTTATCATCCGGTTCGCTTGCTAAGTATAACTGAGTGTCATCGGCATAGCAGTGGAAATTTATGCCATGTTTACTGATAATGGTGCCCAGTGGTAGCATATATAATGTAAATAATACAGGTCCTAAAACAGAGCCTTGTGGAACACCATACTTTGCTTTTGCGAGGGCAGAAGATTCACCGTTTAAATTAACAAGAGTTTATATTACATTAACTTAAAAAGTGTACCATTAGTGACTATTGGACACCACCAGGAACCAGCAGGAACATTTACTGGTTACTGTGATTGTTTTATTTTTTTTTCTCAGAATCGGCTCTGAGTGGCTGCGTTCCTGCAAACAGTGGAATGTAGACGTTTGATCATTTGACTCCTAAAAAGATGGTTCTTCAAGGGTTCTTTATTAAAAACAATGGTTATATATAGAACCATGAACATTCAAACAACCATTTGCATACTTAAATGGTTCTTTGTATGGTGAACTCGTTCTTCAGATTGATGGAGAATGTGTTCTGCATGGTTCTATATAGAATTTGAAAAAAAAAATGGTTCTATACAGCACCAAAAATGGTTCTTCTGTTGTTACAAACTTGACATCTTAACAATAGCAGAACTGTTTTTGGTGCTATATAGAACCATATACAACACATTCTCCATCAACCCGGAGAACCATTTCACCATGCAAAGAACCATTTAAGCATGCAGATGAATGAATGTTTAAGGTTCTTTCAGGGTTCTTTTTTAAGCCTGTACACAGCAGCAACACGGTTTATAGTGACCGAACTTCTCAGAGGAGCGAAGTTAGATGAGTTGACTGTTGTCAGGGTGGCTGAATGTCTAATTGCTGAGTATCAGTTAATTAAACCTGCAGTTTGCCGGGTGTGAATTAAACCTACACACATTGTCCTCCAGCGTCATCTGATTCACTGTTTCAAACTTGGAGTTAATTATGTCATTTTTAATTTTCCTTTTAAAGAATACATCTTTTATTTACTAGTTATTTGTATTCTGTACATTTACATTGTGCTTTTATCCCTCTGGTTTATTTTAATGTGCTGCATTTTGCTTTAGTCTTTTATTATTTTGCTTTAGTTTCCCTGTAAAGCACTTTGTGAGCTTGTGTTAAAGATGTGCTGTGTAAAAAGTGCCGTGGCGTTAGTTTTACTGGTCATTGACTGTTTTTACAGTAATCTGCTTTTATGAAATGCTGACTTTGTCTGTTTTCTGCTTTCCAGACAACCTGCTGGGCGTCTCGTGGGTGGACAGCGGCTGGGTGCCCATCCTAAACCCGGGCAACGTTCTTGACTACTTCTCAGAACGTAGCAACCCTTTTTATGACCGAACATGCAACAACGAGGTGGTCAAGATGCAGAGGCTGACTCTGGACCATCTGAAGTAAGCTAAGCCATCACTCACTAAGTTTACATTTGCACCAGTGGATATTAATCTAACTAAGATGACTGGACAAGCAAATAAGAGAGCCTGCAAACAGATTGGCCAGCTCAGTTTGGACGTATATTTCATATATACTCACCGAGCACTTTATTAAGTGCACCTCCTTGTTTCTACACTCACTGTCCACTTTATCAGCTCCACTGACCGTATAGTTTCACTCTGTAGTTCTCCAAGTTCTCTGTTTATTTCACCTCAGTGCTTCACGGAGTGCTGGTATCTGTCGTTTACACTGGGCTTCTCGTATGTTTTGTAGTCAGATGGTTGGAGTGGAGTATATACTGCTTCACGCTCAGGAGCCCATCCTCTACATCATCAGAAAACAGCAGAGACAGTCGCCCACACAAGGTAACAGATGTCAGTCGGTCACACTGTGGTGTCTGAAGCTTTTTGAGTTTTTGCACTAATGGAAGCCAGCAGACCACCAATTAGCATCAACTACACACCTCATCATCACACACACTCATCTCAAAGCACGTGCAGGTGTTCAGTACCTTTAATAGACTCTGGTTTCTGACACTGTATGACACACAGACTGAAGTACGTTGGCATTAAAAACGCTAGCAGCCACCCTGAAACCTGAAATTTTGTCAGTGCTTTTTTCTCCCTAATTTAGACCAACTGGGGAGAAAATTGGTCCAGTTCCCCCCACTATTTAGGACTCCCCCAGTCACACGATACCACCAGCTCTAGGAGGATGAAGGCAAACACAGTCTTCCTCCTAGTCCTTTTCAAACTGCCGCTAACACAACGTCACTGTACAGCCAAACACACTCGGAGGAGGCGCTAACCGCCAGTTCTGCTACGTCAGCTAACAGACACCTGCGCTGGCTTGCATCGCGCTGATGGGGGGGAGACGGGGGGCCATCCTGCCCACCCAGAGAGAACGAGGACAACTGTGCTCTATTGGACTCTCGGACACGGACGGCTGTAGCGTCACTGGAGATTGAACTCACAACCTCCTGATGATCTCCTGATGACAGGGCCAAGATGGTTACACCACTCGGGAGCCCTTTGTCTGTACTTTACTCCATGTTTATAGATAACAGTGAGTCATACAGAGTCAGAAACTACCTAATCAGGTCTGTTAGAGGCACTGAACTCCTCCACACGCTGTGATAATTTAGGCATGATGTTAATTATTGGGGTATTAGCTTCTATTACTTGTTAGCTACGTTAGCTTCCCAGCTCCAGTGCTAAAACTAAAGAAGCAAACATCAGACACCAAACGTCTCAGCTGACTGAGTACTTTTGAGGTAAGGGGGGACTGAGGCAATTAAACAGCAAGAGCTGCATCTCTCTGATCCCGTCTGTCTGTCCTCAGTCGTCCCCCTGGCTGATTATTACATTATCGCTGGTGTGGTTTATCAGGCCCCAGACCTCGGCTCAGTCATCAGCTCCAGAGTGGTGAGTTTTTTTTGATTGAGTTTTCATTTTATCAATAGATTAAAACATAAGAGAGCCCACAAACAAATAACAAACGGCCAGCTCAGTCTGCATGTATATGTATTATTATATGTAAACACCTTAAAGGGGAATAACACCAGTTTTTCAAAACATCTTCGTAATTCAGCATTAATATCACAGTGGTGGTGATGGGAACCAGGGGTCGCCATGACTACAACACAAATATAGACATTTTATTTACTATCCAGAACCACCAGTGAACCTACACGAGTCTTCTGAGTTTATATGGAATGTTGATGATGAAAATAGTGGAAAATCTGAAATAATAAGTTTTCTTTGGGGACTATTTTGCCTCACAGCGCCCTGCATGTATCCCTCCACCATTAATGAATTAAAATACATTTTAAGCCAAAACATTGTCACGCAACCATCGTTAAACAATGTCTCAGACATCATGTATTCATAACGTATTTCATATTAACCACTTAACTGTGGAGAATTTTTGAAAAATAGGTGGAGTTCCACTGTAAGAGAGGTGAAAAACGTGATTATGCTGTTCACTCATGTAGATGAATAAGGTCAGTAAAAGTGGATCGTCTGTGTTGTGTTAAGCTGTCAGCTGTGCACGGTATCCAGTCGGCGTTCGATGAGGCCATGTCCTTCTGCCGTTATCACCCGTCCAAAGGCTACTGGTGGCATTTTAAAGACCAGGAGGAACGAGGTGACCTCACATTCACTGACCGCTGCTGCTCACGGCCAAGACTACCATATCCACATCCAGTGCTAAAATACAGTTACAATAGCAGTAATAGTTATTCTTCACTCTCATAACTGTGTAACGTACACATTAGCTTTATATCAGCTAGTAATTAATTCATATCAGTTTCTAAATAATAAATGTTAAGATGAACAACTGAATAATAGGCCTGCAGTTCATGGAAATAATATCTGTCCTCTGTTCTCTTTATGTGTGTAGAGAAAGTAAAGCCCAAATCTAAGAAGAAAGAAGAGCCCAGTTCTCTGTTCCAGAGGCAGAGAGTGGACGCGTTACTGCTGGACCTGCGAAACAAATTCCCACCGATGTTCTACCAGGTAACTTACACAGTTGTGTAAATTCCCCGGACTGAAAATTAGCCACCAAGGTGGTAGTAACTTCAGGCTCCTGCAGATGGCGCTGCATGAGGATGATTGGGATAAAAATACCTGCAGGGTGTGTGACGGGATTCATAGATTGAGAAGAGGTGGTACAGTGCAGTGAATGTTTCGTTCAATGTGTAAAAGGCCACAGTGTGAAGGAAGCTGAATCTGCAGGTGTGTTGACACCTACAGGAAATTCTCATCAGAGTTGAGGCCAAAACTCCAGCAGCACTGTCGTGTCTGATCCACTCGTACCAGCGCAACACACACTAACACACCACCACCACGTCAGTGTTACTGCAGTGCTGAGAATGATCCACCACCCAAATAGTACCTGCTCTGTGAGGGTCCATGGGGGTCCTGACCACTGAAGAACAGGGTAAAAGGGGGCTAACAAAGTATCAGAGAAACAGATGGACTACAGTCTGTAACTGTAGAACTACAAAGTGCACCTATATAGTAAGTGGGGCTGATAAAATGGACAATGAGCGTAGAAACAAGGAGGTGGTCAGAATGTCATGCCTGGTCAGTGTATATAGGCTTGATTTGAGAGGGGAAGTAACAGGACAGGGTCAGAGATAATGACTAATAGCTTTGCTTTACCGGTGGCTTAGCTCCCCATGAGCTGCAGTGGTGCAGTGTGTGAAGATGTGGTGGAGCTTCACGCGTCTCAGAGGAACTGTGTGTTCGACCTTCACCCTCCCAGCTTAGTAGCACTGTGTCATAGAGGAAGACCCCTCTAGCAGGTGGGCTACGACTAAACCGGGGAGAAAACTGGGTGAAAGTCAATAAAAAAAACATTTCCAACACAATTCCTGCCATCTTTGTTCTGGTTTCTGTGTTGGATGAAAAGTATTAATGTTTGTTTTTCTGTTTTATTGCAGCCCAAACCTGGAGAGAAGCCCGTTCCTGGTAAATATATCTTTTCAACATTGTTTCAGATATTTTGGATATTATTTAGATATACTATTATTGTCTTATTTGCATTATTTTAATTAATATATTTATTTTCCTCATTTATTTATTTATTCATATTCTTATTATTATTTTAATTATGATTATTTTATTTTTATTTTTATTCTATTTTATTTTGTTTCAGTCATTTTTAATTAACTTTAGTT